GGGGAGTACCTCGCTCTCGACAAACCGCATGGCTCACCAGAGTGGACATTGCTCGTATGTAAGGTGAATGCCTAGCCAGGGTATCGGCTAACTTGGCTGGAGGCCAAGTTAGGTCGACAGACAGGGGCTCTGATGTGGGACCGTTGGCCTAGCGGCATAATGTAACCTATTGTGTGTCTACTTATCACCTAAGCATACTATGCAATGGCAAAGCTTTGATCTCGAATGCTAAACATATATTATTGAGTTCTGTTCACTTGTGCACTGTACCTGTCATGTTAACAGAATAGCAGAAACTCCTTGATAAGCAACACTAATGTGTATAGATTTTATATATATGAGCATAGCTAATCTAGCACCGTAAAGCGATGGTTATTTTACGACATATGTTCATGTTTCTAGCCTGTTATAACTAATGATACGCAATTACACTAATCGGATTACCCATAGCGTGGTTATTGCACCAGTCTAGCACCACTATTGTGTATAAGCTTTATATATATAAGCATAGCTAATCTAGCACCGTGAAGCGATGTATATCTTACATCATATGTTAATGTTTCTAGCATGTTACTACTAATGATACGCAATTACATTACTCGGATTGCGTATAACATCATTACAGCACCGTTCTAACTTACTTATTGTAACAAACCACCTCTTTTACAGGTAGGATTGTCACCGATCTTGCAGTAACCACAGCCTTCTAGGGTATACAAAGTCCAGGACACCTTCAGCTCAGTTTTCCTTTTTATTCAGTAAGAAAGCAGGTACTTTAAATAATAACAAAACAAACAAAATCCCTTGCTCTTACTTGAGCTCTTACTAGACAGTAATTGCTATCTGCAATTGGGTGGCTTTCCCACTTACCAATTTTCCAAACAAAAGCAATGTCTTTGCAATAAACACAATCTCTCCTAGCTGTCTTTTCCTCCCTCACTCTGCAGCAGGCTGCTCTCTTCTTTTAAAGGCCTGTCTACTAATTGAGTAGCTACAGGTGAGTGCCAATTAGTTAACTCTTAAAATCAGATCCAAGCTGTGGTCTGTTATACAGCAACTAGTGCTGTTGGAGCATTGGCCCACCCTGCTCTCCAAATACTCCGCCCCAGGGACCCATACCATGTTTTGCAGAGCATCAGCTATGCATATTGCAAACTTTAACATCTCTCCCTGGGGCATTTAACTGAAAAATCCTCTGGTTGCTGTTTAGCAAATCAGGTCTGATGTATCTCCCATCAACCACTATTCCACCTTTACGCTCACATATCCTCCCCCCCAGCTCATACCCATGGGTTTGAGCGACCATGGAAATCAGGGAGTGTACCCTCGAAAGCCCATCAGCATTACCTTGTTGCAGACCAGCCCTGTGTTCCACAGTGAAATTAAAAGATTGCAAACTCAAAAACCATCTGGTTACTCTGGAGTTACTTTCCCTGTTCTGATACATCCACGTCAGAGGAGCATGGTCCGTTATCAATCGGAACTTTCTGCCTAGTAGGTAGTATTTAAGAGAGTCTAATGCCCACTTAATAGCAAGACACTCTTTTTCAACAATAGAGTAGTTCTTCTCATGTGGGTTTAACTTTCTGCTCAAAAAGAAAACAGGGTGTTCTTCACCCTGGTATTCCTGTGAAAGAACAGCCCCCAAGCCCACATCAGAAGCATCTGTCTGAACTATAAAATCCCTGGAAAAATCTGGGGTCACCAAGACAGGATGGCTACAGATAGCTTCCTTCAGACTCTTAAAAGCCTTTTCTGCCTCAGGGCACCATTTAACTATGACTGGGGATTTTGCTTTAATAAGGTCTGTTAGGGGTGCAGCAATGGTAGCAAAATCTGGAATGAACCGCCTATAATATCCAATTAAACCCCAAAATGCCTTTACTTGTTTCTTTGTAAGGGGCTGTGGCCATTTTTGTATGGCTTCTACTTTGGCTTCCTGTGGTTTAACCAAACCCCTCCCAATAGAATAACCTAAGTACTTAGCTTCCTCTAAACCAATCGTACACTTGGAAGGATTGGCAGTTAAGCCTGCTGAGCGGATAGCATCAAGTACCGCTTGAACTTTAGGGAGGTGGGATTCCCAGTCTGCACTGTGGATGACGACATCATCCAAGTATGCTGCAGCATAACGAACATGAGGTTTAAGAATTCTGTCCATCATTCGTTGGAATGTGGCAGGTGCCCCATGTAACCCAAATGGCAATACAGTGTACTGAAACAGGCCACTGGGTGTTGAAAAGGCTGTCTTTTCTTTGGCTCTTTCAGTGAGCGGGACCTGCCAGTAACCCTTTGTTAAATCCAAGGTTGTTAGATAACGAGCTTTGCCCAGTCTTTCTATTAACTCATCAACTCTTGGCATTGGGTAAGCATCAAATTTTGAGATGGCGTTTAACTTGCGGTAGTCATTGCAGAACCTCCATGTGCCATCAGGTTTTGGCACCAATACAATAGGACTACTCCAGTTACTCTGGGATTCTTCAATGACTCCAAGTTTTAACATGCTCTCAACCTCTAAGTTTATAACCTCCCTCCGGGCCTCAGGAATTCTATAGGGTTTGAGGTTAACTCTTTTCCCTGGTTCGGTTATTATGTCATGTTTAATCACTTTAGTCTTTCCTGGAACTACCGAGAAAACATCCCTATTTCTTCTGATGAAATCTCTGACCTCTTGCTTTTGATGTACAGACAGAGTCTCAGATACGTTCACCTCTGGCTCTACTATAGGAGGTTCTGAAGGTTTTAAAGCAACCAGGACCTCCCTGTCCTTCCATGGCTTTAACAGATTTATATGATACAACTGTTCAGGCTTTCTTCTTCCTGGTTGTCTGACTTTATAATTGACATCACTCACTTTCTCTATTATTTCATAGGGTCCATGCCAAGTCGCAAGGAACTTATTCTCCCACAGTAGGGACCAGAACCAATACCCTGTCTCCAGGTTGGAACACTCTGACTCTAGCATTACGGTTATAGCTGTTTTTCTGAGCCTGCTGGGCTTCCAGCATGTGTTCCCTGACAATAGGCATGATGGTGGCCATTCTATCCTGCATTTGAGCTATATGCTCAATTACACTCCTGTGAGGAGTAGTCTCCTGTTCCCAGGTCTCCTTAGCAATATCCAATATTCCCCTGGGATGTCTTCCATATAATAATTCAAAAGGAGAGAAGCCCGTGGAGGCCTGTGGAACTTCCCTAATGGAAAACAGTAGATATGGCAATAAAAAAATCCCAATTTCTTCCATCTGCATCAATTACCTTGCGTAGCATACTCTTAAGGGTTTTGTTGAACCTCTCTACTAAACCATCAGTCTGTGGGTGATATACTGAGGTCTTAAGATGTTTAACCTGCAAGAGCCTGCACAACTCTTTTGTGACTCTGGACATGAACGGGGTCCCCTGGTCTGTCAGTATTTCTTTAGGGATACCCACCCTACTGAACATCAACATAAGTTCCTTAGCTATTAACTTTGCAGAGGTATTACGCAAGGGAATGGCCTCAGGGTAGCGAGTTGCATAGTCCAAGATGACTAATATATATTGGTGTCCCCTAGCGGACTTTACCAGTGGCCCCACTAAGTCCATAGCGATCCTTTCAAAAGGCACATCAATTATGGGTAAGGGTACAAGTGGACTATGAAAAGTCTTGAAAGGAGCCCTGTACTGGCACTCAGGACATGAGGAGCAATAGTTTGTAATAGCAGCAAACACTCCAGGCCAGTAAAACCTTCTAAGGACTCTCTCTCTAGTTTTTTCGACTCCCAAGTGTCCCCCTAATATGTGGCTGTGAGCCAACTTTAGCACTATATTCTGGTAAGTCTGAGGAACCAACAGCTGCTTAATGATGTCTGAATCCTTTTTTTCTACACGGTAAATTAGGTCATTTTGTACTTCAAAATAGGGGAACGGCAGTGCTTCTCCTGGCTGATTAGCAACCCCGTTTACAACTTTAATATCATTTCTAGCTGTCACTAAGGTGGGATCTTCCCACTGAGCGCTTTTAAAGTTACCTGGACTAATTCCAATATCAATTAAGTCCTTATCCTTGTCTGCAGTATTAGTAGGCTCCTCACTAGTTTGAGCTGGGTTATCTCCTATTAATACTGGTTTAGGGCAGTATTTTTTCTTTTTTCTTATTTTTCCGTCACAGTGGTCAAAACCCAAGTCAATATCGGAAAAAGGGAACACATTATCCTCGACAGACTGACTCATTTCTGATAAATTTTGGTCTGTCTTTTGTAAAGCTGCCCATAATTTTAGAAAATGAGGAAAGTCTCTACCGATCACTACCTCATGGGCTAATCTAGGTACTACACCCACTCGGTACTTTAAATCCCCATACTGGGTTCCAATATTTACTTCCGCAGTGGGGTATTCCTTTTTATCACCATGAACACAGATAATGCCTATTTTCTGTACATGATCAGGTTTTACACAAGGTATTATAGACTCTGCTACCAACGTAACCATACTACCTGAATCAAGTAATGCTTTAGACATTTTTCCATTCACAGTTACACAGCATTTATGAGCGTTATTATCATAGTCATTGTTAACAGTACCATAACAACTGAGCAAAAATGAACGTGTTCCCTCATCTTTGCCCATATTGCATTCCATAGGTTCATCCTTAAATGGACAGTCTTTGGCCATATGACCATCCTCTTTGCACTTGAAACATTTGACAGTACAATCTGACCACCAATTAGTTCCTTTCCCAGGCCTATTAGACCTGGATGCCCCCCTGGTGTTTTGTGTATAGAGCTGCAGTTCTTCAGCTCCCCTTAAACCTTGAACAGTCTTACCAGGTCTTGCAGAATCTTGGGGCTTAGGATTGCGAGGGTTTGCCTGTGAAGTAGGACATAGCAGTTCTCCTGCAGCCACATATCTTTCCACCAAGGCAATCAGTTGGTCAGCTGTATGGGGGTCACTTTGGCTGACCCAGCGACGCAGGGAAGCTGGTAAACCACGCAAAAAACGGTCCATTACTAAGGTTTCCACAATGTGGCTAGCTGAATGGATTTCAGGTTGTAACCATTTCCGTGCAAGGTGTATGAGGTCAAACATTTGGGAACGTGCAGCTTTGTCTGAAGAATATGACCATGAGTGGAACCTTTGGGCACGTACTGCAGAGGTTACACCCAGTCGTGCCAAGATTTCAGCTTTCAATTTGCTGTAGATACTTGCATCGGCTGGTTCTAGGTCATAATATGCCTTCTGCGGCTCTCCACTTAGGAACGGTGCCAGTATGCTTGCCCACTCACCAGCCGGCCATCCCTCCCTCTCAGCAGTGCGCTCAAATGCCAGAAGGTACGCCTCAACATCATCTGATGCGGTCATTTTCTGAAGATAGTGGCTCGCCCGAATCACCTTTGGCCCCTGGTATCTTCCATCAGGGTCTCCATTCAGTTTTTCAGAGATAGCTTGGATTTCCTGTTGTAGTCCCTGGGTGACTTTTTTCTGCTCCTCACGGGCTACTTTAAACATCTCCGCTTGTGTCACAACAAGCTGTTTCACCAAGGACTCAGTGCACTCCATTTGTGTTTTGGCCAGGACTTTAGCACACTCTGCCTGGGCCAGCACCAGTTGCTGCAGGGCTGCACTGTTTTCTGCAGCTCTCCTGTTAGTCTCCTGTTGCACAGAGGTGGATTGGATCAGAGCCTTGATAACATCCTCCATGTTGAGCTTTAAATGACTTCTACCCTCAGGCTTACGTGGCTGCCCGCATTCTCCACCATATGTAACAAACCACCTCTTTTACAGGTAGGATTGTCACAGATCTTGCAGTAACCACAGCCTTCTAGGGTATACAAAGTCCAGGACACCTTCAGCTCAGTTTTCCTTTTTATTCAGTAAGAAAGCAGGTACTTTAAATAATAACAAAAACAAACAAAATCCCTTGCTCTTACTTGAGCTCTTACTAGACAGTAATTGCTATCTGCAATTGGGTGGCTTTCCCACTTACCAATTTTCCAAACAAAAGCAATGTCTTTGCAATAAACACAATCTCTCCTAGCTGTCTTTTCCTCCCTCACTCTGCAGCAGGCTGCTCTCTTCTTTTAAAGGCCTGTCTACTAATTGAGTAGCTACAGGTGAGTGCCAATTAGTTAACTCTTAAAATCAGATCCAAGCTGTGGTCTGTTATACAGCAACTAGTGCTGTTGGAGCATTGGCCCACCCTGCTCTCCAAATACTCCGCCCCAGGGACCCATACCATGTTTTGCAGAGCATCAGCTATGCATATTGCAAACTTTAACATCTCTCCCTGGGGCATTTAACTGAAAAATCCTCTGGTTGCTGTTTAGCAAATCAGGTCTGATGTATCTCCCATCAACCACTATTCCACCTTTACGCTCACATTATACTTATTTATATGTGTTTAAATCCAAATGTTTAAGCCTGATTTAAAAAAATTAATGTGCCCCGCATGTCAAGCGTGGGAAGAGCCAGAGGACTGCTTTTGGGCATCTCGCGCCAGCCTGTACAATTTACGTGCACAGCAAAAATAAAGAATACAAAAAAAAAATGTAATCTGCCATTTTAGTGCCCAGTCCCCAATCTATCCAAATCCCTCTGCAGCAAAGCAATATCCTGCTCACATTTTATTACTTTACAAAGTTTTGTGTCATCTACAAACACTGAAACATGGCTTTCAATGTCTATTTCAGGATGATTTATAAATACGTTAAATAGAAGCGGTCCCAAAACAGAACCCTGAGGGACACCACTTCCGACTTTTGTCCAGCGTGAAAATTTACCTTTAATGACAACTCGTTGCTCTCTATCCTTAAGCCAATGTTCTACTCAAGAACAAGAATAATAATCTAGACCAATTTCTTTTAGTTTGAAGACTAACCTATTGTGAGGAACTGTATCAAATGCCTTAGCAAAATCCAAGTAGATCACATCCACTTCAACACCCTGATCTATACTTCTACTTACTTCTTCATAGAATGCAATTAGTTTAGTTTGACATGACCTATGTTTCATAAAACCATGCTGATTATTGCTAATAACAAAGTTCTTCCCAATGAATTCCTGAATATTATCCCTTAATAGCCCTTCAAATATTTTCCCAGTCACAGAAGTTAAGCTCACAGGTCTATAATTTCCAGGCAAGGATTTTGAACCCTTTTTAATCCTCCAATCCTCCGGTACAATACCTGAAACAAAAGAATCTTGAAAGATTAAATACAGAGGTTCACTGATTTCCCCACTTAGCTCCTTAAGTACTCGTGGGTGAATACAGTCAGGCCCCGGAGCTTTATTTACATTGATTTTCTTTAACAGTTGTAGCACTTTGTCTCGAGTTATCCATTCACAAGTTATCTGCAAGTTTTTTGCAGGAATCATTTGCATATCTCTTCCAGAGCTTTTCTGGGAAGCTCCCTCCTTACCTGAGCAGAATGCTCTCCTCGGCTGTTCCCACCTCCTATAACCTCCGATCCTGTACTAGCACTTTATTTAGTCTACCGCAATACAAAAAGAAAGCGGCCCGATCCTCCTTTTCCTACAGAGCACCGCAATTATGGAACGACCTCCCGCACACTTTAAAATCTTCTCCAAGCCTAAAGTCCTTTAAGAGATCCCTCTCTACATACCTCAAAACAGAATGCATGTGTTATGGTTGATTACATATTTCCTACCTGTTCTATGTTAAATTTTGTATATATTGTGTATTAATATTGTTTTTTGTATTTTATTGTAATGTATCAATGCAATAGTTTGTGGACCCAGGACATACTTGAAAACAAGAGAAATCTTAATGTATCTTTTGTGGTAAAATATTTTATAAATAAATAATCTCTTGCCATAGGATTAATATATACTGAAGACAAATTGTTATTTAAAATGTCTGCCTTTTCCTGGTCTTCATTAGCTAACAGACCCATCTCTGTTTCCAGTGTACCTATAATGTCATTTTATTTTATTTTTTTTAGAATTGATGAACTTGAAAAATTTTTGGGGGTTGGTTTTGCATTCTTTGGCTATCAATTTCTCATTTTCTAGTTTAGCCACATTAATTGCCTTTTTGCAAGCATTATTGGCTTACTTATATCTTTAATAGGATGTCTCTGATTTGTCCGATTTAAATGATTTAAATGCCCTTTTCTTATTTTTAATCTCTTGACATGAGCCAAGACTTCATGAAGGGGTAAAATGAATCTCAGTTTAATGGGAGCCGGACTTGGCCTTATATGAGTTACAATATTCACAGACCAATAAGAACAGTATTCCAATGCACAACACTCCCACACATAGCATACAATCCCTCCCCTCTGCCTGGGAGATAATTGAGTAAGATCCTGCATTAACCCAATCTTCAGGCAGAAAAAACACACATTTCTATAAAGTCCCAAAAGTACCCCAAAAAACATAATATCCCCATATGTTACTGTGACGGAACGCTGGCACTCCGACTGAGTACCTCCGCCAATCGATGCTCCTAGTGCTCGCTGAGGACTCCAAGCACTCCAACCGACACCATCAGCACTGCAGACCCCACTTCCAGCGATGCAACTGCGCCGGGGTCTCTGCTGTTTCCACCCACCCTGGACCCAAGGCCAGGATCCAGCTTCAGTGGGTGAACCTCTCTTTCCCCAGAGAGCAGGAACAGGAACAAATCAAGCTATTGCAAGAGCTTCCTCTGGGGAGTAAGTGATTATAGCAATCCCCAGAGTGTAGGTATCCCTTCCCCCAAACATGAGCCAAGGCTTAATGCTGGAACAAGACTAATTTACTGGCACACAGAACTCACAATTTATGCAACACAAAACTCCTCCTCTGGGCCAGGCTAGATAATTGAGTTTCTACAATACCCAAAGCTCAATTATCTGCTGGCCAGAAATTATACAGTTTCATAAAACACACAGGGACCCCAAAACATGCAATAACCCCATAAAAAGTATATCCTTGGAACCGGGGGATCTGGTTGAACCACATATCCAAAATTCACCCAGATCCGTTCAGTACTTTGGAAAATACAGTTTAATGCAGATTCTGCAGAACATATACAGGCTAAATGAAAAACAATCACTTTATAATGTGTCCCCTGCTGTATAGTCCAAAACCACTGCACGATGTCTCTGTGCACCAAATACTGGTGAGATGGCACCGTGTTGAAAAGTCCAAACAGTGTCTGTGAGTTAAAATGGCCGCCATCCATTGTTCTCACCATGTGCTTCTGATACAGGAAATGGTGGCCACCCAGTAACTCCACAGTATGTCTCCAGATGGTTCTTAAAGGGCCAGCGACAGCACAACACAAATCCATTATGCCCAAATCATGTCTTTAAAGGGCAATACATCCCAGGGGCCATAGTCACAGGGCAAGAGGCGGGCAAGCAGTCCTCTCCAGGCACAAGTGGCGAAGGGCACTTCGTCACAGTTACATCCCCTGATAGCCCTGATCTGGGTTACAAACATATATAAAAATCACGCAGATCAGTTCAGGGGTTCAAGAATTCTATGGATGTCATTTATTTGGCTAGTTCGGTAGTTTGAAAATGGACAAACTACCAAACAGAGTCAAGAGTCTTAGATGAATGATCCCATCAAACAGTGCTCTTCTAACTTGTATATAACTGAACGCAGGCGGTGATGGAAGTCCAGCGGTGTTCGGGAGTTTCTGTATCCGATTTTAGTTACATGAAATTCATGCCCAAAGACCGCTGCCTGCATTCATGCAAACAAGATGGTCGCCACCTCGTGGTTGTCCATAGGAATTGTGGCCACCCAGACGAACGATTAGAACGCTGCGGTGATAAACGTTCCAAGTTGTTAATAGGTGTTAACAAGCTCCAGGGTGGTCTCTGGTTCGTGCGGTTGTTCTGTAAATGAACCATATAGTCCCAACTGCATGAACAGAGCCTGTTTAAAGTATTTTAGCCAGGTCTATTGCATGGGCCATAGTCATAGGGTAGTAGGCTGGCAAACAGGCCCCTCCAAAAACCAGTTGCGAGGTTATTTTCGCCACACTGCCTTTTTCTGTTGATTAGTGCCGAACCATTTGTAGCCAGCAATGTTTTGACCTAACAAGAAGTCTTTTTCCTGAAAAAGACCTCTTGTTAGGTCGAAACAATGCTGTTCATTTTGTAAATCTGCCTGTGGCTTTCACATTTGGATGCCTGCTAATCTTTCTTACTAAGGATCCCATAGAACCAATAATGTGGAAAGCTATAAAGGAGCTGAGACAATGTAACTACTATTATATTTGCTGGCTAGGTCTCATAAATGTGGTAAAAATTACATTACTGTCTAAACTTTTATTTGTCATTCAAATGGTACCCATATTTGTCCCTCAAAATTTAAAATAGGAAGATCATTTGGAGGGGTAGATCACTATGAGTGGCACACTCCCAATTGACTCTCCCCAGCTTCAAGGCGGACTAGCCCTGTCTGACATTGAAAAATACTACTTAGTGCCCCATTTCACCAGGATCATCAGGTGGACTATTGCATGCAGTGGAAAAGAATGGGTACAGCTAGAATCAGATAGAGCTCAGATCTTTGAGTCCTCCCATGGATAGAAAGAGTAGGAAGCCAGGCGGCAGCCCCCAACCTGTTTGTGAAAGCGACTGAGCCTCTGGCACTGATATGGTCCCAAGATTTATCAGACTACCGAATGGAGCTCACTGCTCCCACTGGAAGGCAACCCTGACTTTCCGGTCAGCATGCAAAGAGAACTTCCCTCCCCTTGGTGAGAGACATATTGGGGCAGGGGGGAGATATTTGATTGGTGGTGGAACTCTTCCCTTGTATGAACCACACGCTACTCCACTCAATGGCAATATGTTTTTATCAATATCACAGAAACTATGCATTGCCAGAGATAAGACAGATTCCATGCAAGACTCAATAGCTCCCAAAGCATCTCAGCACTCTATAATATGTTGGTGGCAAATCATTACTTGTTATCAACTCTGTGTATCCAGAACTGGGAGGAAGACCTCCATCAGACGTTTACAGATACGGAATGGAACAAGATGCTTGTTTTTATTTAAAAAACAGCGGTGTCAGCACATGTGCAGGAAACTTCATACAAACTCCTCATGAGATGTTACCTGACCCCAATTGCTCTTCACATGCGTGATCCTACTGTGTTGGATCTCTACTGATGCTGTGGGGAAGAACGAGGAACGTTCATTCACATCTGGTGGTCATGTAGATTAATCAGAGCATTTTAGGTGGAATCGGTTGGCCACATGATAGTTTGAGGTTTCTCAAACAATTTTCCTATCTGTTACACCTGTTGAGGACACCAGATAATT